TTAGACTTAGTCAAGGACAACCCTGGGACCTTCAAGTTTGCTGGAGTGAGGATTTGCAGCAGGGCGTTTCAAAAGCTTACAGGGATATCCAGTGGAACCTTGCAGAACATTCGTAACAAGATCGAGAAAGGAGTGGTGAGCATTTGGCGTAGTGACGCCCTTGCCTGGACGGCAATCCGCAATCAAGCAAAGGCCCACCGCTACCTGGACAGCAGACAGTGGATCGAAACATATGCTGAAACGCACGGGGAGCGTTCACCGATGAGCCTCCAGATCTATCTTCCAGCGGGCAGGAAGTTTTTCTACCATTCGCAGTATGACTTTGAGAGGAACCTTAGGCTATATTGAGAAAAAACGTCAGTAGCAAATCCAAGTATGTGAAACCAAAGGGTGATGCGTGACATGTTCATACAAATTGTCACACCATGTCACACCTAGGAGTGAGCAAAATTTGGGGCATTTGGATGGAAAGCCTGCGGATTTATCGACCTTTCGCAAAGCTTGGACCAACGAGCTGCCTTGGGTTCGCATTGCCAAATCAGATTCTCGATTGAAGCCGTAAAGTTGATTGTCGGAAGGCATAAGCCATGTGACTTCTCATTTGTGCTGAACAAAGGAGTCCATGTTCACCGCTTGCTCGGCCTGCACCTTTCTGAAGAACATGTTGGACAAGACCCCGAGAAGTGAACTCCAGATTCTCACCGCTGTGAAGAAGCGATTAGGACTGTGATTCACTGCCTGACTGTGACTGACTGACTTGAATTGCATAGGTATTCGTGATTGGTTCCAGGAAGACACTACACCTTCCAGGCAGCGCAGCGGCTGGCAATTGCAAGGTGTCAAGAGATGTGCCGGCGAACTGGAGAAGATTGGTGACCTCTGTTTGAGGGCGTGTGAATGTCAGCAGTGAATGATTTTGATGCGCGACATTGCCACTGACCATCTGACCCTTGCTGTCAGGTACTTGTCAATTGACAAGTGTGACCAGAACAAGACCATCCTCCCATGCGTTCATGATATGTTACTGATTTCAATATTTGCTACTGTGTCATTTTTCCTGCTGTTCAGAAAGCGTCTTGAACACCACCAAGGCTTGCCACACAGTTGTTCAAGCTGGGGGAGCGCTTTGTTGTTGGCGTTGTGGGTGTGCATTACGCTGGCCCAAAGCGCATCTTGGATACACGTGCAAAATCAGTTTTCTGCAGCTTTTGTTTCACGCAAGCTCCGCAGAGTGCCTGAGGTGAGGATGAGTTCTGCCTGACCACCACCTTGGAGAACGCCTCCCATGGAGCCAACTCTCAGGCAACAATGCTCACGAGGCAACTCCATCGTACCGCTATGAAAGAGGGCCGGCTCCCACAGTGCTTGTATGTGGGGGCCGACAACACCCCGAAAGAGACCAAGAACAGTACATGCGTATGCTGGGCCATTTGGCTGCTGGCAACCCTTCACAATGGCACTGAGTTGAAGGCTGTGGAATTTCAATACCCGCTGGTGGGACACACTCACGGATCGCTGGACCGGTTCTTTTCCAGATTGATTACATCGTTGAGGGGGCGAACGTATTTCACAATGGACGAAATGGCCACTATCTCTTCCCAGTCATTGAAGGCATTTGCCATGAACTGGAGCCACCACGGTTCAAGCTACGACTTCACTCACCTTCGCACCTTGTATGGCATCGAGCTTCACCGATATCGAAATGTCCACTCCCTCCGGCTCTATGTGGACAATATGGGGATTTGGGTCAAGTGGAGGCAATACGTGTCAGATGAGTCATGGTCAACACCACGTTTGCTGGTTGAGTATGACCGCGTTGCCGTGTTTGCCACGGCAAAACCGCCTTTGGTGAAGCATGAGTTTGATGAGCAATCAAAGGCGAAGCACTTGAACTTCTTAGACAAGTTGGAAGCTTGGGCATTTGTAGCTATGATTCGTGATTTCTATAGTTTTTTGTCTGATCTTGGCCTAAGGAAGCCTCATTGGCAGCATCGGGCCAAGTCGCAAGGGAGCAACTTCGTGAATTGCGGGCTTATTTGGATGGACCAGATGCTGGCCCATCTCTGGAAGCTTGATGATAAATTATTATTGCGACATGTTAGATCTTTGGTTGGGTGGGTTCATTCATATGCACTGAGGAGACTATGATTTCGGATTTGAGAAGTGCTCATTTGGGCCCGTGCCAGCTTGTCGCCAGAGAGCCAGACCCCCTGGAAATCCCAAATGACATCTACTACTCAATTTCGATGGGGGCTGACATCGGCCACTTGCCTCAGGATTCTCTTGTCACCATGACAGGCTTGGACGAGTCGCGAGCACCTGCCAGGAAGGCTTTCATTGGCCCTGGCGACTTCTGTGTTGTGGCTGGCAAAGATCAAACGCTGCCCATCGTTCTCGGAGTTTTGATGGAGTTGGTAAATTACGATGGCGAAGAGCAGGGATTGTTCTTTGGAGGCATTGAACGGTTTGGCAATTCAAGTTTTCAGGTGGAGCAGTTTGATTGACAGCCACAAACCAAGGTTTGCGTGGTACCATCCAACACGTTCACCAGAGATGAACATGCGAGCCGGGCGCAAAAAGAAGGTCCTGGACATTTTCGGCGCCTGGATCCCTGCAGACGATGTCTCACTCAACGAGACATTGACGTTGCCTTCGGTGCTCCAACCGGCATCAAAGGTGCTGGCTTGGGACTTTGATCCCGAGCAGGATGAGGAGGGAGATGCGGTCAGCCTCCTCATCCCGTTCTCAGTGTTTGATCATGTGATGGATGTGCATCGCATCGACATCACGGGGCTGAATCTGTCATCCACCAAGCGAGGAAATTTGTACAGAACGCATCGCTTGATGATGCCTTTGGGATCTTGAGGTTGGGGTTGGAAAAGTTGGCGATCTCAGATTCAGATTCAGCATTTTTCCTCAAGAACACTCATTTTTTCAGCATTCAGATTCAGATTCAAATAGTCAGAGGTCAAAGGTCGTGTCAAAGGAGCTGTTCAAAGTCACAGGTCAAAGGTCCTCAACGGTCATGTCAAAGGAGCATTTCATGTTCAAAGTCAAATACTGCGATTTGAGTTTGATGTGCCATATCTTTGCCCTCACTCCGCAGACCCTTGTCGAGCAGGTTCTGACAGGTCTTGTTAGAGAGCCATGTCTGACCTTGACGATGCTGAAACCTTCATGCTTGAGTTGCTGGTGAGACAGCTGGATGACATGTCACGCCTGGCCAAGATGGAGCAGTGCCCAGGTGTCAACTGCAAGATTCTGTAATGATTGTCGTGTTGAATGAATTTGGTTTTGGTTTTCAGTGTTTCCGTGTACTTCTTCAGGTTGCAGCGCTTCGTGATCACTTTATCCAGGAGAGACCATTTGACGCAGGAAGAGCCGGGGTCACTCGGCCGTCGGATTTCTTAAGTGCGTCAAGTGAATGAGTCTGACACCAAGGAGTGATGATTTTGATAGCCGTGTGACTTTGGAGAACATCAGGCACTCTGTGACACTGAAGTTACTTGACAGCATTCCTTTGTCGTTCATGTCTCCGTTGTGTCAAGGGTCCGGTTTTTGACTCGAGGTATGTTTGGGAGAAGACCCAAGAGTTCTTGTACAACCAGTGTGAATCTATGCTGAGCAAATCAAGCAATGCGATGGAAGCTGTTCAGACTCTCAACAAGATGGATATCAAGGCAGGGAAGGTAGTGGCTCTCATCGTGACTGCAACCTGCACATATGCTCCTGGTCAGGATGTGGGATACCATACCACGGCCCCAATCGGCGGAAAGATGTATCACATTGCACCATGGGTGGAAGGACCGCTCTTTCATTTGGGCCCCTTGTCCAACAGTTGTTTTTGTTACATGTTTTTGTCACATGTTTTCTTTGCCACATTCGAGATTCGAGGTCCCAACGAAGAGATCAGATTCAATCAGTGCGGCTTCAACCTGATTTGTCTCGCCGATGTGACTGCGGAAAGCGATGACATGTCGATGTGAGGGTGAAAATGAGCTGTGCGGAGCGGATCCCTTTTAGTGATAACACGTTTCATCACTGAACGCTGTGATTGCCAGGACTTGCCTCTCCACCAGCTGGCGTGAAGCTTTGGGTTGTGGGTTGGGTGATGGGTTGGAGGTTGGGGGTTGGGTTGGACTTGTGTTCATCATCATCATCATCATCATCATCATCACTTTATTCTTCTTCTTCCTCCCCCTCTTCTTGAGTATCAATAGCGTCAGAAACAAGAAACTGAGAGTCAAAAAAAAGTGGGAGTCATTTTTGCAAGCCCCTCTGATATATATATATATATTATGTTGTTGTTTTTTTGATATATATTGTTCATGTTATGTTTGTTGTTGCGGACCTTCGAGCACTGTGCGCAGACGTTTGTGAGACCTTCCACTTCGCCGTCGGCCGGAATCCTTGATTCTTCCCGTCTGTGGCCTCACGTGTTTGCTTCGTTGAGGGATCCGCAGAAACGAAGCATCCTTCCTCGTTCTTTCTGGTGTTTGCTTGTTTATTTATTTTTTTCCGGAGTATAGAAGTGCAGTGGTTAGTGGATCCCAGTTAGCAGCTAGCAGCTGGAACCAGCGGCTTCGTGAACCGGTCGTACGGTTTCGTTCGGTCTTAACTCTTGGGAACCCACTGGCCTACGGTACTCAATATCCTTATAGTATCTTATAGTGGTAACTGATTGGATCCACTGGGTTGGACGTTGTGAAGTGACTCGCATGGACGCATCGAACGCACATCATATCCACCACCACCGAAAACCGGGTGGGATTGCCAGTAAAACATAGTAGCGGCAGGTTACTGGGAGTTTCTAAGTGATGGCGTTTAGAGTTTGGACTAACGATGGTTTCTATATGTTTCTATGACTCATTCTCATCAACAAAAGAACCTTTCACCCTCCCAAGGTTTTTACTACCTTGGTGGTTTTGGGCTTAGAGTCCTCCCCTGTTTTGAAAAATTATGTACAAAGTAAAAGTGGCGCAGCTTCAGGATGATCCTTTATGAACTGGTTGCTTCTCCGATGGCAACTGTTGCTTGCGTTCTTCCATGTTTTCCATGTCGAACTGGGTGCGGCTGTGGCCATGGCGATCGCCGTCGGTGAGAGTGTATTTGAATAGGGAGACCCACTGGCCCTGGCTGGGTAGACTGGTAGTGGTGGTCTATTTTTTTCTTCCGAACTGGGAGTCGTTGCCTGGGAGGTCTCCCTATTTTAATATGCACCCAAATACCAAAAGGTTTGTACTCGCGTTTGTCCTTGCATCAAAGTGATGAATCAGATAGGCTAGATGCAGCACCCTGGTACCCCGGTGGCCCCTGTTGTTTTTTTTTTGGCACAGGTGCATAGCGACCATCAACTACTGGTAGGTAGAGGCAAAGGTTGTCCAAAAAAGTGTGATATGCAAAAGACTGTGTCTATCAATACATGTCGGCATAGTGATCGGATATATTGATTTGTGTTTGTTTCTGTTTGGTGTTCTGCCTGCCAGGAACGCGTTCGTTTGGCGGAGCTGCTCAGCATTGATCCGGAGGCAGAAAAGTTCAGATTGTGCACTAGGCAGTCCTTGAAAATGACAGAGCAAGTTATATAACATGCCGTGAAGCTTGAAATTCTTGCTTGCATCCTTCATATCGCAAACTATAGAGACAAAAAACATTGAGCAAGAAACCCATTCAGTTCTGGCGGATGTTTTTTACGGTAGATGATTTTTAGATACTGTATTCTTAGCATTACATCCCTTGTAGCCACCCTCGTTTTAGGCACCGACTTGAACTGGAGGCGCTTCAGCAGCAGAAGCGCCTCAAGGCGCTACTCGCGCGGCACGAGGGCGGCGCCAAGTTCACCAACCTCGAGGCGGCTTTCAAGCGATCGCTTGGACCGCGGCGAGGACCGTGGATGCTCCAAGAATTTACAACTGGCCAAGTGGATCCGTGGATAGGAGTCTAGATGAGGAGCAGTGTTTTTGTTCTTCTTTTTTTGTTTGAAAATTAGAGCCTTGAGTCCTTGAGTATGTTTAGTCTCAAATGGCTGGGCGGATGACAAGGGTGCCTAGAACTATGTTGGACACAGATGAGCCGGTCGGAAAATAGACCCCTTAACCAAATCTGGGATGGGGGACTCGACTCCCATATCACTATGTAAAACTGCAAAAGACCTGTGTGAAGCCGGGCTTTTCACAATTTGATTTAGGAGTCTTTTCCAAAAAAAGCCTCAGACGAACCCCCGACCTCCACCATGTCGGGGTTCTCAGCTCAGGCGGTCGTTCGCCAGCTCTTTACCATCTTTTTCAAAGACTTCCCAGTGCTTTTGCAGGTGCCCCCCCGCCATGCCCGTGCCCGCGCGTTTAGCGCGCACAGTTGCAGGGTGTTTCTTGCCTTTCTTTCTGTGCCGGTTTGGTCTTAAGCGGAGGGAGTGTAGAATATGAAATCGAAAGTGGGGTAGACGCATCATGGGTTTCTCGGTTTCTCAAGTGTGTCTATTTCTCATTGGACCCTCAGTTTTCCTTGACTTGAACACCCACATGAGTCACATGAAGTGGCAAGCACTGCAGTCATTTGCAAGCCCCGGCTTTCCTGGGTGTTTATAAAGCATCCGTTTTCTCCACGGTGGGTACTTTGCTCAGAAAACAACATCAGAAGCCTCACTGGCCGGATTTATTTTGAAGCCCTCAAATGGCGAACTTGCTTGCTGGATAGAGGTATCGGTCCTGCGAGAACACCTCAAAGGTCCTGCGATGTTACTAGTAATGTCCTTGCTACTAGTAGCGATGCACCTTGATACTAGTAGCTTCTTGTTACAAGTAGTAATGCACTTGTTACCTTGTTACTAGACTCTTGTCGATGCCGGCCAGCCAGTCGGTCAGACCCCAGACCGGCAGACCTGACAGCCATGCCGCTCCGCTCAGACGAGTGCTTCTTTGTCGGTGATCATACACCAACCTGCAGACCTGTGGACCTGCCGTTGGACTGTCGTCTCATTGTTTGCTTCCTCTGTTGGATTCCAATGACTTCTGACAACTTTTCCTCTACAGCTACAGGTCTACACATGGTTTCTTCATTTTCAGTGTGTGCCGTCTCCTTGCATCCAATGCAAATCTGCTTCCCTTTGGTACTACACTTGTGTTGTGTATGCTGGCACAATCTGCCTGTAAAAGTTGCATACTCAAACTCGCTGCATACTAACCCGAAGTATGCAGTGAGTTTGTCATGCATGTCTTTTAAAGAGCATCAAAGGTGGATCTCAGGGGGGCTAGCATATGTATAATTATATATCTATACAGTAATAACTATATATATATATATATATTATATTCATCAAGGTGTACTCACATCTTATGGGAGCTAGAGGTAGAGACCTCGCCGTCCAGTTGTGTGCATCAGAGATTCCCGCCCTCCGCCACGGAGAGCCCAGCGGGGCCCCTTGAGGCGCCCTCGTTGCCCACGCCCTATGGCTGGCAGATCCCGATCTTTGGGTGCGGATGCCAAGAGAAACCCGACTAAGTGGTTGGCTGGGTCTATGTGGTTACGGCCAGAAACTTCAGGTTTGGATCAAGCATCCAAACCCACACTTGATCCAAAAATATATAAGATATTTCAGAGTCCTTCCTTCATCATGGCCAGTTGGTTGGTTGGTTGGCTGGCTGGCTGGCTGGCTGGTTGGTTGGTTGGTTGGTTGGTTGAGTTGGTGTAACGACAAACATGTGTCATCCATGAGCAACGACAAGGTGCCCAAGTTGGCGTTTTCTATGGACTTGGCACATTGTGCTGCAGGACAGATAGGTCCACAGGATGAAATTGTGAAGGCAAACCTTGCAACGTGGTGGTTTATATATTCATATATGTACATACCCTGGGAGTCAAAGACTATAGAAAAAATTGCATTGAGCTCGCAGGAGGTGCGCATTTTGATTTTCCATTTTGCAGCCACTTGCAAGTGGCTGCCAAGTGGCTGCAAGTGACTGCTACGTCTGTCCGGAGAATATCATGATTTCTCCGCATGCAGTTCTGAAGAAAACCAATATTTCTGCAATGCTGTTCTGCGAAGAAATAATCCAAGACTTTTCCGAGAATAGATTCTAAAATTCTGCAGAGCTAGCGACGAAGAAATCTTACAGTTTTTACATAAAGAACTCAAAGTACACAGTGTTGAAACTTACTTGCTTGAGTGACAAGTGGCTGCAAGTGGCTGCCTGAGCAAGTGGCTGCAAGTGGCTGCAAATGACTGCAAAACCAAAAATCAAAATGTACGTAATTTGCTCGCTCTCTGAAAAATTGTCTTTCGGTGGCACGAAAAGGATTTTCCTTTACTTCACTGAGGCAAAATATAGTCTTTGGACTTTTAGAGTATATGGAGGTTTGCCAAGACTGGCCTTCGGGTTTTGAGTCAAAAGTCCTGAGGCTCACAGAAATGCATCAGTTCCCCAGTTCCCTGCCTTAAACAAACGCTACAGTGTCATGAATAGCCACGAACAGCCATGAACAAACGCTACAGCGTCCCAAGTGCCTGAGTCTCATGCAAGCATAAAAGTTACAAGATTGAACTGTTTTTCCATGCCTTAATGTACCAAACCACGGACGTGTTTCTTCGTTGCATGGAAGTGTGAGGTACGTACTACGTACCCCCAAGTTCCCTGCTGTGTAGTCTTACTAGTTACTAGATATGTTGCTAGCCATTGAGGAAAACATCTTGGCAACACAAGACACCTAGCATCATTACATTGCCCCGTCAACCCACCATGCGTGTGCGCACATTCCACCTTTATGGCATCCCCATACGAATGCACTGAATCAGCACGGAACCTCTACATGTTCAGCGCACTAGACATGAAACGCTACCCGCAGGGGACATGTAAAAAGGGCTGCAAATTGTCAGTTATTCAATGTTATTCAGAGTGACAACGTTTTCAGATAGTATTCGGCAGAACCCTGTCGAGGACGGCCGTTAGAAAGCCGTGAGCTCAGGCTGGAAGTTGGCGCAAACAACACCCAGGCCGAGGGGGGATGAGAAGATGTTCACAAGGTGTGCATCATGGAAGGATACCCTTGGGATTGAGGTAGTCAAACCAGGTTGGATGCACGTTGATTGATAAAATCCATGGTGGGGTTATGTAGGGGGGGGTTCTAAGCCATCATTGGGAGATGTGGAAGATCATTGAAGATCATGTGTTCTTCTCATCCTAAGATCTTTGGACCCATTATTGGGCTCCCACGCTCGATTCGCTCGCTTCGTGTCAAGGCCATGGCAGGTGCGCTCAAGTGCTGGGCCCAGTGGAGAGGGAGGGGTGGGCCGCTGGCTGAAACCAATATATGAGATTGAAATAGGTTTGCATTTAAATAGGGGGACCCCCGAGCTCCGAACCAGTTGATTTATTAGTATGCATGAATTAGTCTATATATATATATATATACATGTATATATATATATATATTTTTGTATTGGTTTGTGTTTGGCTGTTTGATTTCCTAGAAAGTCTTTGAGGGGTCCCTATTCTAATACACACACAAATCACTTTGGCGCGTGGGTCCAATGGATGCAGGCAGACCCTGAGGCGACATTTGGGAGACCCATCCAATTGTGTTTTTGTTTAGATGTGTTTGATTGTTTCGTTCTGTCCAGAAGATTTGAAGGAAACCAGCAGACATGCGTGGTTTGAACACGTTTGAACCCAAAACCAGCAAAACCAGCGCCCCGCACAGGTCGGGCCTTTTGTGCTTCGATCCTGAGACAGCGTCGGACGCCGTCAGGTCAGGCCTTCGGCACGTGCACATCCTCCTGCCGTCGGGCCCAACCACCCGGGTGTCTTGGCAGAAGTTGCCAGACTGCTTGTCGTGAAGCGGGGAAGCGTTCTGCCGGCCTTCGGGGAGTCAAAAGCCTGAAAGCGTCAACCAAATCGGAAAAAGTGAGTGGATGACCCTGCAGGTGTTGATATTTAAAGTTCGCGCTGGGATGACCTAAAGCCTGTTATGGACCATGTCAGCACCTGTGCCACTTCAGGAACCCCAAAGTCTGTTCACTGGAAATACAAGTGGAAGGAGGAGACCTTTCTATTTTGATGCGTTGGGTCCATAATCCCATCCTGCATGTTCTGAGTCATCCCAGATCAGTGCGGCAAGGGATGTGACACGCACACCTGACAGGCAACCGATGGCAGCACCTTTGTGCGAAAGATCTTGCCATTGAAATTGGCCGCTCGGGCGAACCGGGAGAACCATGTGTTTCGTTGCAGAGAGCGGCTGGTTCCTCAAACTGAGTGTGGGTCCTTTGGATGTCCGCACTTTGATAGACACACACGCACAAGCACAGCCAGAAAAACTATTGACAATGCAAATCGCTCACTCATCTCTATAGTGTCAAGATGTGTCAAGAGTTAAGATCAGGATTTCGCAATTCACACCCCACCCAAACAAAAAATGAAGATGCGCTCTTCTGTTTCAGTAACTTCCAACGTGCGAAGTCTGATGTTACATAATTGAGCCCCCCTCCCCCCAAAATAAATAAGTACAGTACTTCGTAGATTTACGTAGGTACCTGGAGGGGCCTGAAGTTACATAGACCTCCCCTGCTGCCCAAAACCAAGGTTCATGGGGGCCCTGGGGTGGGCCGGTCGTCGACCAAGTGCAAAAATGAACCCTCGACTACCTGGGGTCCGAGAAGGACATCGTTCCCTCGTTGATGTGACGTTGATGTGACTTCCAGCAGACGGACTGCCAATACTACGGCGCCCGCCCGGTGTTGGGGCTGATGCACGGCACGAGCAATCCGCCCTTGCGACTCAGGCAGAGGTGTTGAACAACCTGCAGCAGAAGCACCTGCACTATTTACGCGAAGCGATGGTTCGAGGGCCCAGCTGTGTTCAGTTTGGTTGGGTCGCTGGGTGCAGAAAAGGCAAAATATTATACTCCCCTGAGATCAGATGTGACACGTGCGGTGGACCCTTCAGTAGCACACCGATGGACGACAAAAAGACGGCCTAGGCCTCTGGCTCACCGTCCACCGAGACGGGTGTCAGTGTCGGGTGGACGGCCCGGTGAAAAAAACCCGGCGCTTCGGAAGGGCAGGGCCTGGAAGCCAGGGACAAACCCCATGGGAGACCAGCACCTTTAAACGGGGTCACCTGGCTGGAAAGTCACTAATGCTAATGTTACATATATGTGGATCTCCTAGGACTCGGACACTCATTTGGAAGGTCCAGGTGTGTTTTGATGTATGTCGACACATTGATATGGAATCTCCATGGAGAGGATTGGCCTGGAAAAACGGCAACAGTCGCACGCACTTCCAAAAAATGCATGGCACTGGAAGAATTTTCAACAGTGTCAGCTATACGATGAATAGTTTGATCGAAATGGAAGGGGGCTTTGCTACTGGCCAACAGTGCTGAAAGAGAACATGAAAGAAAACAGGTGCCAAGCCATTGCCACTTGGGGGCCAACAGGTCGCCTCCTATCACCTCCTCGTTCAGGAGAAAAAGAACACTATTAGGTTGGAGGCTTCACAGTCCACTGCTGAAGACCACCGGACTCAGGTCATCACCGTGCGGACGCCGCCACACCTGGTCTTTGTGCTGGCGGAGGTCCGGAAGACCTTGGCCACCGCGGGCTATGCGGTGCCCGGGATGCCCAGTGGAAGGCGGCGTTATTTTTTCAGCATAATGAAGTTGAGGACTAGTATATGTATATATGCCCGGCACGGCCCTATAGTATATACCCAGCCTTTTGATGCCTTTTGTAGGTGGCATCATTCAAGGGGGGGTTCATTTAAGGCACATGTGCACTTCAGGAAAGAACCAAACCAACAGAGGGCTGAGGGGTCCGTGAGCATTGATACTGTAGTTGTTTCTTGTTCAAGGTTGTTCCTAGCAAACTTGTACTGTAACTGTAACTGTTGTTGCTTGATTGTTTCATGAACACAGTGATAACAGTTGATAACTGTTTCGTGTATTCTGTATTATGTATTGTTCTAGCTGTGTGGGCCGGCTTCATTGTGGAACATCCGTTGGGGGAGGGTGTGTATCCAAAACTCTTTCAGAGAACACGCAGGTCAAAAGACAACACGGTTTGTGTGACGGTCTTTGATTCCCCACCTGCCAGATGACGGTTGTTAAATCTTATCAGAGCTGACCTCTCCTCTCCTCGTCCTCCTCTCCTCGCCTCCTCCTCCACAAGCACCAGATCGCAGTGGGCACCACCAGACTTCAACCATGAGCGCTAGATCGCAGTGGGCTCCACCGGACCTGAACCAGACAGAAAGAATGTCAGCAAATATGCCAGATAGAATGCAAATAGTTTATCCCAGAGACTAGAGAATGCAAGAATACATGCCAGATAGGCTGCCAGAATATATGCCAGTTGGACTGCCTTAACATATCTTAACATTAGCCAGATAGAATATGATAGAGTGCCAGGTAGAGTCACTGAACATATGCCTCAGATAGAATGCCAGTATATATGCAAGCTGCAAGATAGACGTATTCTTGGTGATGTTGAAGCAAGATAGCCGTCGGATATCATGATATCGGCAAAATATAATGCCATGGTGGGGATCACCCAAAGTAAAGTAATTGATGTATATGATTGTTGTTTTGAAATGTGCGTCCTGCACTTTTTGCATGAGGCCTTCGTGCCACAACAAATTAGCATGCAACTGCAGCTGGAGCTTCACTTGCTTTAACAAGTTTGGTGCTGATTACGCAGACCAAGGATGTAACCCTCGATATATCAAACTGCCTCTTTTGAGGTCAGGTCATACTTGCTTCAACTGTCTTGACTGTCACACCTGTTGGTATTATTAATGCTTCCTAGTGATACTCTCAAACAGAAAGAGCACCTTTTCCATGCAGTTTTCATGCTGCCTCCCCCAATCTCACATGATCGTCCTCACAGTTGCGATTCAGGCAAAGTTTGGCCAAGATCATTACGCAATTTGTCGAAACACCGTGCCGCCGCACCTTCTGTCGGAAACATTGCCACGAACAGGGACACCCAACCCTCCACAATTCAAATTGTTTTGTATATCATTGTTTGTGTGACATAAATTCATATATGTCCAAGTCATACACATTATGAAACACTGAAGGTGTTGCATACTTTATATTATATAATTATATAATATATTTAAAACTACTTCACATAAAACGGACCATACATCTGGCATTAGAATGACCGTGGAACCTCCTATGGAATCCGTGAGTTTTGTTTGAGGTTTTTGTGAGTTAGAGTCGAGGAAACTTTGACTTATTTTCTTAAATTTGGACCACATGCAAACTGTTTAAATTAGCCATTGATATCCACGTTGCCTCAAAAGGAATGTTGCAAAAGATCGTGAAACCGCCTTGTCTCCAAGGAGTATCTTGTCCCAAACCGTTTTTTCCTTGTTTCTTGTTGAGTCTTCCAGGTCGAACCAAATCTCAAGTGTTCGTCGCAGTGTTCGTGTTTATTTGCGTGGCTGCTGCCCAGTCCCCTGCGGCCCCCCAGCCTGGTCCTTGAGGGCTTGCTGGTTTCTGGATGTCCGTGGCTGTACTCCAGCTGACATTGGAGAGCACTGGCAGGCGGAGAAAATCGTGATGTTCCTGTTTTTTGTGTCCAGCAGAAGTTTTACTGTATGATCTGTGTCAAGCCACAGTACTGGGCTGTAGATTATTGTACACCAGTTTGATGGCGATTTGCTTGGCGGGAGTTCTTCGTGTGGTTGTTCAGGCCCAAATACAGTGTGTCATTTCAGCTTGTACATGGAGCACTTGGCTGCCTGCAAACCTGGCTTGGGGCTCACAGGAAAGGACAAGTATGAGGAGTTTTAGGTCGGGCGCCTTCCTTTTCGACCTTTGTGATCAACTGGATCTTTGTCGATGAATCTACTTGGAAAATGAATCCTACTTCTACGTCTTCCTGTGGATTCGTGGAGTCCACCCCATCCAGGCCCGACAGACCACCCACCTTCAGACCCCCGAACGGAGGCCATTTCGGCCGCGAAGGCGCCCAGCGAGGCGTCCGCGGCGTCCGCGCGTTCGCAGTGACCGAGCAACCCGCATGGGCCGCATGGGGCTGAGTTTTCGGATGCTTCACATGGTTTTTGGCTTTCTTTGGCAGCTGCTGATCTCCATTTCGGTTGGGAGTGTCTCAATTCATGGGTTTTGTTTGCAGCTTTCAGGGTGTTCAAGAGATTGTAATTCGTTAAGCCGGGTATTTCTGAGATAGACGTCTCTAGGGGTTTGTGTCGGACATGTGTCGAATCTTCCAACCGGAAACATGTGTCATTTGAGCCGTTTTTGCTCATCCACATAAACCGTTGGAGCCAAGCTGAGTCGAAACAACTCCCTTGTTTCATGCATGTTGCTTGGTATCAAGGAATCTGTGCTGCGCATGGGTGTCTTTGTAGACCAAGTCGACCAATCATTTTGGCTCAATCGGTTTATCGAAGCCATTTGGACTCAAAAGTCCAGTGTGTTTTGCCAAGTCCAAGTCACACATGCTCCTTGGCAGCGAAGGTGGAATGGCCGCCCTGAAGTAGATGGATGATATCAATTTGCCCACTCACAAACAGTACCGACAAACAGTTTAATCATGTCTAATGGAGTGATTCATGTCTCATCACTCATCGCTGACGAGTTCAATCGTTATACTGTAGTAAGTTACATGTTTTGTTTGGACTAAGTCATCAAGAGTTGGACCAGCTCAAAGACTCAAAGACTTTGTTGGTTTCTGCATGGTCCCACATTCGGTTTGCTTGAACTACATGGCTCCCGACCACCTGAGAGCGTCCGCCGCAACTCGTGATCAACCAACCGGACTGCGATCAGTCGTTCACGATGCCTGCGCGAAGCCGCGCGCGCGTCCAAGGCGCTCGTTCGAAACGCCAGGGTCGAAGGTGGTGGCTTTCCACTTGGATCCATGATTATTTCAGGGAGTGTATCTCCAATTCGGATATGGTCGAAGAGGTTGTTCCTTGGATTTGATCCTGAGAAGGTGAAGTTAGATTAGCTTGATCTGAGCAGCTTGGGTTTTTAGCCATAGTCAACCACATATCGACCATGACTTTTTGGCAAAGCCACCCTGGTGAAACCGTAGCATCCCTGTTTTGAGTAAGTAGATACAGCTGATGAACAATCATCATACACGAGGTCTGACAATCATCACATCGTCCCCAAGAAGTTTCAGCTTCGTATTCTAGACAGATTGCAGCCAGACTTTGCAACCTGGTTTATTGTTGCCACTGTTTGATCTGAAAACCCAAAGAATTGCAACGCACAAGCAAATATAGTCAAACAAGCAAAGTTTAAGTTTGTGTAATAGTATTCTTGACGCCCGGTCGTTGAGGCTGCTGATGCCCTGCAGAAGCGCCTCCAGGGCCTAGGCGCGTCATTGAATGACAGAAAGATGGGAGAGACTCACTGGGAAAGAGAGAAGCAAAATTGATCATGCTTCACTATTATGACAATGACTAAACAGAAATAACCAAGCGCCAACCACCGATTGATATGCCGCCGATACCGCACCAAAAGATTCGAGAAACCTCTCGTGTAATGTCCATGCATGGTCCATGGTCCATGTCGGTTTAACCCTGTAGAGTGCAGGAAGATCGTCCTTCCCTCGGATCGCCTCAGTCTCAGCGGTCTCAGTGATCTCAGACCGTCCACGTCTCTCCTACGAGATACCACAGAGTCCCCCGAACTTCCAAGCTTCGCAGCACCAAACAAGGGGGGGATCGCTTTTTTCAGTGCTTTGAAGCATGTTTAAACACGTCAATAGTGATATAAGTAGTACTTCCTCGATGCAGCGCGAGGCGGAAGAGCCAGCCCGATGCCGATCCCCGCGGCCAGCAGGGCCTTCGCGGCGCTGGCCGTGGCCGTGGCGGTGCGGGCGGTGCGGCCAAAGGCCCAGCTATGGTGGGGGAGTTGGGGAGGTTTGAGTATTTGTTTGGATAGTACAATATGGGATAATTGTATAACACTCTACAGTATATGATGTCTATTGGCTCGAAGTGTTCATCTGGAGTCTTGTCCAGATTGTCGGGTCTTGTTTGTCAGGTCGATGTTGAACTTTGCTCAGCATGGATTATGATTAAAAGGTCGACTGAGAATGGTACGGTTTGCGTCTCTGTGCGACCCGTCGTTTGTTGCACGTACCCTGTCTCAAAGCTTAAGACCGGATAAGACCGGATGCAGGATTTGGAGTCAGAGCGTGAGGAGATCTTTCAGCAGCTCTATAGGTGCGGTCGGCCGGAGTGAAGAGATACGACAAAAACCGGGAGAAGACGATTCGATTCAAAGGTTCTGAAGGTTGGAAGTTGATTGAAGTTCTTGACGAACTCATCAAGTCCAGAGGTAGGTCCATCAAGAATTGTCAGGGCACCACATTCCGGAGTTGAGAATCATTGGACCACAGTTATGTCCCTTAGCTAAGTTGAACTGAAAGGACTTAGCCAGAGAATACTAGGAGGCGATCCTAGATGGTCCGCACTCTTTTTGAAAAGGGACAAAACCTACGGTCGCGAGGTGTGCGAACATGAGAGGAGACCGATTCGATCCCTGGGTCACGACACCATGCGAAGCAGGCCTTGGCTTAGCCCAGTACCAAGGGACGGAGGAAGCAACACCAATCGCCCCTTCGAGCAGGAGACCCTCGGCTTCGAGCTGTTCTTGTTGAGTGGCTGGTGACCTCCCTGTGAGACGGGAGGTCACCAGCTCCACATCTTGGGGCCACCCAAGTGTGTCACCTTCCTGTGCATGGGATAAACTGCATGAACAAACACCTCTCCAGAGGTATGGCTCATATTATATATATATGGGCTTGTCTTTTTTTAAGGTGTCCAGTTTATGTAGGGCTGGGATGTTCGACTTAGGCGAAGCATACCCCGAAGCATACCCCCGAAGCATACCCCCGAAGCATACCCTCTCGAAATGCTACTACTTTAGTCTTCACGCTGCGCGAAGCATACCCCGAAGCATACCCCCGAAGCATACCTCCGAAGCATACCCCATAGTCAAACATCCCGGCCCGGGAACATTAAAAAAATACAAACCCATATAGACAAATACACGTATGTAGAGAGAGTACTGAATCGTTCTACAAAGGGATGAATGGACTCGTCCGACCAATTCAGGCCCGCTGAAGCCCTGATGTTTGGATGTTTGAACCCTATCCATCGCCCTCCACCAATCAGCGGCCCACGTGGCCCATGCAGGCGCTATTTTGCTCACTATGACCAGGGTCTTGCACGGTCCATGCTGGGGCAGGGTCCCCAAGAGCGGCCGAAAGACACGATCCAGAGGCCATTGGCGATTCGAATTCTTGGAGCGGTTGGTCTTTTTGCGATTTTGTTGGAGAAGACCTAGAAACGACTCGCCGCTTTGGCGGAGATGGTGGCCAGGCCGCTGGGTACTTTCTTTGCGATACATGGCCGGCCGTGTGAAATGGGTACTTTCTTTGCATGTTGTCCTTCAGCACTGCAGGTGACCTGAGATTTCTCAGAGAAGAGAATCTCTGTTTGATGGACCCACTCAAAATTGAGTACCACATGAAAGGATGGGAAGGTGGTGGGATATCATACTTAATCTACAGGATTCAGACTCAGCTGTGTTTCCATGTGTTTCCTATTTGTGTTCTCGTTCCTCCATTTCGAAGTCTCGTTGCAACTCCATTTCGGAGTCTCATTTCGGTGTCTCGTCACCGTGCTGCGATCGTGGCATGTCACGGCAATCGTGGCATGTCTCATCCCACAACTGCGACTCATTTTGAGGCATAGAAACAAGAGAGATCACCCTCCAACACGAACTTGGGGGCTCAAGGGCCCCCAAGACTGTTTGGATTGTCAATCCTTGATCCGTAAATCATCACGACTGGGAAGACTGAGCCGAGAGTCTGAGTACGTGGGTATAGAGAAGAGACCCGACTAGGGGTTCTTAGTTCTGTTTGGGGTTCTCACACACCACACACACACACACACACTGTTTGTGTGTCTGTTGGAGTTGCGAAAGGGTCAGAGGACGAAGCACAGAAGAAGGGCCCAGAGTCTAGAATTCCGCTTGAACTACCCTTGCATTGTTGTCCCTGAAGGTTTGGAGTCTAAGTAAGTCTAAATATTCCCACCCAATCCTGAACGTTTGGGGGGGCAGTCATCCACGTTGGAACACGAGGAACTACGATACCGTTGCTTTACGTCAAGTATTTTGGATGCAAAAGCACAACAATACTGAATCCAGCACTCACCCCAAAATAGCAGGAGCATGCATGCAGGAACTATTATCATTTATATACTATTATTACTTAGCTTGACCCATGCATTGTTCTGTTGGAAGACAATCAAACTGAGTCAGTTTGCTTCAGTTGCTACCCGTCATGCCGCCTGAGGCTGCTGCCCCATGAAATCCCAATGCAGTTCGAGTTCGAGGTACCTAGGCCCCTCTATTGTGCCGAGCTCAGTGCACCACGAGGTCTTGTTTTTGGGAACGGCAACCAAGAAGAGTCATGACATCATCATAATGTGTGTGTGTTTGATATGTTAACGCTTTTGTAGACTTGATGAAACCATTTGACTCTCCAGTAGAAAGCTATACTTCCACCCCTTAGTATTCTAGGTATTGTTATATAAGATATAGTATATCTAATATTCTAGGCAATACTCATTAAGATATATTAAGATATTAATTAACCCACAAGGGAACATGAGGGAATGCACAATTGAAGATACTAAACTCATTTCACCCAACGAGTTCAACCATTGCCATGGAGCCATTGCTAAAACCAAAAGAGATGTCCATCGTGTGCCCCTCAACCCGCCACCCACATCTGCCAGCCACCCTCCTGAGCCGCTGAGATATGAATATGACTCCTGAGCTTCTGCTCATGCGTGGGGGCATCAACAGCCCATCCTTTGCCGCGTGGTTTGCGTTGGACGCAGAGCTGACGGGAGCTGATATGAGCTGACTGACCTAATCTGCTACTTTGGATGTTCCACGGTGATGTTGTTGCCAGTTTTAAAGCTGGC